CTGGTCAGGACAGTACAGTTAAACTTTTGTAATAATATTAAACTAAGATTTTATCACTCGCTGCGCATTAATGCTACACCGCGAGCCAACCTGAAGAAAGTTTTATTTTAAATGTATATTTTTTTATATTTGTGCTCTTTAATCTTAGGCGAACATTTAAAATTTAAATATCACTTTAACTGTTATCCACAGGTGTCCGTCAACGGTCCAAACGTAGTCCCGGATGTGTTTTTAATTACCTTCTAAATCAATGCGCGGTGACGCAACCTATATTTGAAGTTAATTATAACTCGTGGGATTATTTTTTATTTCATTCTAAACTCACTTCCAATTTAAAACTATGAATAAAAAAGGTGCAATTTAAACACTGCTGCCACAGGTGCGATTGTGGCCGGAAACCCATTCGGTTTGTTAGCACAGAGAGCGCTAACGAGCAGCTGTTTGTTAAAGTGGCTGCGGTTTCACATCGCGTATTCGGTTCTAAGAAGATGATGGTGGAGAGATGAAGAGATGAGGGGAGGGAGGACGGCAGAAGAGCGCAATGCAATGCCGCCGGGGATCGAACAGTGACCCCAGTGAGATCTATTGTCCGCGGCTGGAAGGCCCCTCCGGCGCGCTTTTGTGAGTCACGGTGTTAAAACGCCATGCAAATACGCCCGGTTTATTAACATGACATGGAGTAGCAGTGCCAAGTGTAAAGAAGTCTTACCTCCAGGCACTGGGAGGAAGGAGGAGGAGATGGTGGTGGTGGAGGAGGAGAGGGAGGCCATAAAGTCATCTGCCACTTTATCTCTTCCTGGGCCTGGCTGGCTTTCTGTGAACTGCAGGAGGCAAAGAGGATTTATTGGGGACTTTTAAAAATAATAATGTGTTTGGATTGTTCATGGCAGTGTATAAACCGACAGGGCCATTGTTGACGACTTGTTTAAGTCCTAACAATATATATATTTTTTGTAGTCAGAGTTTAAATACAGTCAACAGGTTAAGGAGATAAGATTGAAGTGTTTGTGATTCTTATTTCTAATTACACACTTTCAGTGATGTATAATGTTTTTTGGTAACAATTCATAGTCGGCTCCAACACATGATTAAAACTCACTTTTTTTTTCCTTCCAGATTTTCTGAATCTGAGGAGAAGATACCACAGACACCACTGTCCACACAGGCGCTGTCTACCGCTCCACTCCAAGGTCCCCTTCCGTTAAAGGTAAGTTGTGTAAAACAGCCGAGCTGTGTGGTACACGCAGCAAACGCAGGTCTCAGATCTGTCAGGTGGCAGTTAAGTAGGTGTTGCTGTGATTAGTGGCAGAGGTGGAATTAGTGCAGGGGCAAAGGGCTGTTGCATAAATCTCACTAATGATAAACAGAAATGCCTCAATGCCACGGGGGTTGTTCTCTTTGGAGGAGGGGGTATTCAGCTTCATTGTCACAGAAACGCGAGGTGTTTTGCCTTGAATTGATTTACTTATGGTTATTTTTTCTGCTTTTACAGGCGCTGGCAACAAGAAGAGAGTGATGTCAAGAGAAAGGTGATTTTTGAAGCAACTGGAAAGTCAGGACTGGATCCAAGTGCTGCACCATGGACTAGAGTGGAGGGAAAAAAAATCAGTCAGTGGGACATCAAGACAACTGCCTGACAAAGACACTTCTAAATCAAGACAAAGTTGGAGGAAACAAAAAAATATAAATATATATATATATGTATAGATTCTTGTATAGCAGCATGGATCAGTGTGTCCTGTTAAATGTACGTTTCCTCCTCAAGATCCAATAGGATCATCAACAAAGATGATGGAGAGGCAGCTATGGCGTTGTCGATGTAAATGTAAATGTATTTACCTCTCCACAGTAAAGCTACGGACCAAAGAGCTGGGTTTACCTCAGTGGCTTCAGCTTCGATGAACAGCACCCATTATTATCCCTACATAAGTGTTTAAAATGCATGTATGCACTTCAAATGTTTATTGAGTTACGATTTAAACTTTAATAAAAAAAGTATGAATGTTCCATGTGAGATTCATGTGACTATAAATGTGACAGCACCATTAGTGGAAAAAAATGTGCTCCTCATTGTCAGTGAGTGCCCTGAGTTACACCCGGCAGAAGTCACATGAGAATGGAGTCGTAAATGCTGCGCTCCCTGCGGTGTTACGGACGCCACATGATAAAGGGACCACGACGGGGAACAATCACCAAGGGTTCAAATGACGTCCTCGATATTTCGTTAACGTAGATTCCCGTGACTGTTGTGATTTGACACAGAGAGGCTGAGGCGGGACGGGGCACTTACACCAGCTAACGTTGACACTGCGGTGTTCCTTTTGTTGGGGGTTCTTTCAAAGCTTTTACAAACACTAGACAAGACAAACGCCAAACAGTATCCACTCACTACGGGTTCACAGTGTTGTGTAAATCCAAACCAAAATACCCAAATCAGAGGGTTAAAGGTTTATTAGAATGTGATCACAGACCAGCAAGCTCACAGAAAAAAGACCAAAAAATACATTCATCAAAATTACACAAAAAATGTTTGACCCTGAAAGAAAAAAAGGTTTGACCCTGAAATCAGTACTAGCTCCCTTCTGCATCCCTGGCTCTTTCACTTCTTTTTTAGTGGTGAAGACCTCAAACAGTACCAGTCCCTGGTAGTAACACCAGCGGCACACACACAGGTCACTGGGATTGTTAAAACAGCTATTAAAAGCACTCAGATCTGTGACCCATGACTCCTCTCCCTTCCTCCTCCTCCTCTCTGTTCCACAGTCAGCTCACCTTGGCCTGTGTTATCAGTGCAGACTTCCTCCAGTCTTTACCCGTGCGTACAGGTGCATTAGTTCACTTTAGTCTTTTATCCAGTCTTTCACAGGTTTTTTTTTTACTTCAGGTCCACAGCTTCTGTTTCAGCGTTGAAGTACTTAAGACGCACTTCAGTGAGTGTCGGGTGGGAGGGGAAAAGGAGTGTGGGACCTGGTCAGTGCTGAGCAGAGAGGTTGAGCAGCCGCTTGCTTAGTAAAGTGTTGTGCTGTTTTAGGTACTCTATCAGATCAGCCTGTTTCTCCACCACCTCCTCCAGACTGGAGCCCTCTCTGACAAAGAGAAACAGCAGAAGTGCCGTTAAAACATAAAACTTTACATGTGGAATTCTACATTTTTTCCCCAAGTGCTGGAAAATAAGAACAGATTTGATAAAACACTTATAAACACACTAGCTTAACTTGGAACCAATAAAAGTACCTTTTAAGTCAAAATATAAACCATGGATAAAGTCCTGCTTTAAATATTAAAACTGAGATTAAATTCAAATCCCTTCATAAACATTTACCACTGAAGAAAATAGTTCAAAGATTTATTTGTCCTGTGTCATGTAGAAAAGTGATCATTTTTGGTATAGTTCAACGCTACATTTTTCACCTTTTGTCTTTATGTCTTTTTCTTTCCATTTCTATTTCTCTGGTATTTTATTGCAACAACACAGCAAGCCAAATTTATTATAAGTGTAAGTGTTCTTTACACTATTGTTAACACTGATTCTGATCCAAATACAGTGATGTGTCAACGGACCCAAAACGGAAATCTTCAAAACTGTGCAGTAGGAATATTTAAAAAAAACAAAACAGCAACAGCAGCAAAACTGAGTTTTAACAAGACAATAACATAAAACAAACTTTAAACTATGAAGGAACTCTATGGTACAGAGTGGCCTGCAAAAGAATTAATTTCAAATAAAAATGGCTGGCAAAAAGTCAAAGTGTGTGTGTGAGTGTGTGTCTGGTGCTTAAACGTGTGTACCTGAAGCCCGTCTCAGTTGGCAGACTTGTGGTACTGTAGGTGTGTGAATGCTCCTCTTGGCTCACGTCTGGAGCGGCTCGAGCTCGATTAAACTGCCTCACCTTGACTGAAAGAAGAAGACAAAAAACAAACAAACATCTTCAGTCACCCTCAAGTGCAGACACACAAACAGCGACGGGCAGTGAGAGCGACCTACAAACGGCAATCAATCAGGTGAGAAATGGCACACATTTGTTTTTTTTTACTGTTTTCCATCCCTCTCCCACTCCTAAACACACACGGGCTGTTATATCCTGCACTTAGTCCTTATGGGCTGCCATATCCTGCGCTCCGAGCCTTTAATTCTTACACCCTAAACATACACCTTTACAAAAGGGGTGGGGTTAACGGCCGGGTGTGAGCGTATGGGATACAGTCGCAGTTAAGAGGGGCCTGAACCAAAATATAGGCTAGATGTTAGTGCTGCTCAAGTGGAGATAAGTAAGTGTGTGTGTGTGTGTGTGTGTGTGAGAGGAAGAGCAGAGGTGGGAGCTGCCTGAGTATTGATAAGACTAAGTGTCATTAGCCAGAGGAAATTGTCAGGGAGGTTCTAAAGAGCTCTATCTTTGCTTTGCTGCAGTGCAGAATCCCAGCATCTCCACTCAAACACAGTCCTAAGAAATACTACACATTCCTGCATAATGAGGCCCTAAAACTGTGTGTACTGTATTTGTGACCCATTCAGAATCCCTCGCCGACACTGGTGCTGTTGTTTCAAGGAGCATTAGTCAATGATCGGCCAACAATCTGCTCTCTCTGAGGCTAGAATATTAATATTAATATTTCCACTCTGTGATGAGACGGACTACAGTAGGATCAGGGTGATGGATGAGCTGTAATAATGACCGGCGGTCACAGAGGCTTACAGAATGTGTGTTTGTGTGTAAACAGTGACCAGGTATGTGTGACAGAAGGACGTTCTCGAGTGAAAGGAGAATAGCTGTAAGTAAAAGGACTCAGAGTGATGTTGAGCCGGCGTTTGCTGAGTCTTTGTTGAAGTGGACGATAACGCGGGAGACAAACGGAGGTGAATGTTTACGGTGCACGCTGGACAATCCAGACATTCCCACAGTTCTTTTTTTTAATTAAAAAAAGATTAGCCTAAGGTCCATGCTGTACCTTGTATTTAATTGGCAATCTTATCTTTAGCTCTGAGGTAATACATTATATATATATATATATGTATATATATATATGTACATATATATATATATATATATGTATATATATATACACACACACACATATACACTAAACCTGTATTGTAGTACATTTCCTTTTTCACTACTTTGGCTTTTCTCCCCCCTGACCTTTGACCTCTGGTCCAGAAGGTATTTTCACACAGTAAAACGCGGCACAATGGAAACTCTGAACTCTTCTAGTTGGGCAGTTGCTGTAATGTGATTGGCTGATAAATATTTGTGATTTCAAAAAAAAAAGTTCCACACCTATATACTCTACATTTTAATAAATCACATCAAAGTGTTTCATATTTTTCTTCAAGTGAAATGTTGGTAGAGGAAGTCCACATGGTGTTTCTCTGGGATCAATTAATATTCGATTGGACGGATGGATTGATGGACGGATGGATGGATGGATGGATGAGTGTGAAGGCAGTGACACATTTCACACATCTCTGTTAGAGACTCACCACAGACAGTGCTCAGACCATGTCTGAGAAGCTGCGGTCGCCCGTCCAGAGATGCGTGTTTTCAGGCGATAACAGTGAAGCTGCGGAGGTGCTAACAGCTACCAGTACCAACAACAATGCAAACCCTGCAGAGCGGGAGGAAATGGATGCCTGCAGCTGCACAGAGTGATGCTGGGGTGTTTGAGTGAGCAGCGTGCGCACATTTCAGTTCAAAGCAGTCGTCTCATTAAACCACCTCTGCTCATGGAGGTGTTAGTGAAACATCAAAACCTCAGTTCAAGGTCAAGGCCGACTGTACCCGTCCAGTGTGGGCCACAGGGCCTTCATCTTTAGACCACTGACAGACTGTAATGATAATAGAATGAATGACCATTTTATGGGTTATTAACCTCACCACACTGACACTGACGCCGTCGCGATACAAACACGATGAAGTTGTTCGCCTTGACTTGATTTTCTGTGAAATGTTAAATAAACATTTTGTTAGGCTTACGTAATAATGACCGGCGGTCACGTAACTGAACCTCAAAAGTAAAAGCTTATCCCAGGACTTGGCTAAAGCTACATACACACGTTCTTAAGTGCATACCTTCAGCTTTACACATGCCTGTCGAAGTACAAAGTAACTAAACACAACACTGTTGAGTTGTTGTTGCTGTACGCCTCCAACAATAGTTTAATGACGATGAGATTGAACTCATCGATTCTCACCTTAAAAACATTTTAAAAATAGCACATAATACAACACACTCAAATCCTGAACTACACCTACAACAACAGCGGTCTCTCCTGCTTTAAGGCTTGTTTTGAGCAGCTGTGAAACCATTTTGCTCATGCTCACAACTACACCTACTCTGTTGTTTCTTGTTTAATCCTATCATAGACTTATGCTGCCTTTAGGAAATCTTTTATGAAAGATTCTTCAGCAGGTCAATCTGTGTGTGTGTGTGTGTGTCCTACAGTGCTTACACTATGTTCTGACCGGGCAGGGGACAGAGCTGTATTCTTACGTTAGTCTTTGAAGGAGGTGGTATAGCTTTGATGTGTATGGAGGACTACAGAGGACGGTGTATTCATGTTAAAATGAGAGAGGCAGAAACATACGGAAAACCTCTTTCTTTCTCTTTCTGCCTATCCCTTTCTCTCTCTCTGTCTCACTCACTCACACTCACACACACACTTCAAAGAGAAGTTGAACGAGGCCTTCCTCCATGGACTTCATTGCTGCGGGCATTATATATCATCCTTTTTGAATCATCTTAAAACGGTTTTCATCATATCTCATCAACCTCTCACATCAGACATCACTGTGTTTTTATGTTAGAAAGTGAATATTTACGTGTGTGTGTGTGTCCACGAAGACGCAGTTTAAGAGGTTTGCGCTGTGAGGCGTCGCTCATTCTGCTCCACGGCTGACTGCACTGATCTGAACAGGAATGCAGCGGTGAGCAGAGACACCCCCCACCCCCCTTCATACACTGGGTCACCATCACTGTAAACACAAGGACAATGTGTGTGTGTCCGTAAGAGTGTGTGTGTGCTTGGGTGGAGTGTGCTCAAGGCTAGGTTAATTCCTAATGCTCCTTATCTTCTCTCCCTGCATCTCTATCTGCGATCTGTGCCCCACGGCGGCCAAACACAGCTTTATTATGAATTTCCTTTTAATACACATTCTTCAATATCAATATCCTGTGATAGAGAATCGGTAACAGCGCTTTTCCTGCACAGACTCAAGGCAAGTGGTGCCTAGAAATACCTAGAACCTATAGCAGATTAACTGATAACAAATCAATGGTTTTCACCCCAACCAAATGTATACATTGTTATATAGCCAAGGTAAAAAACAAGTAAAGATGGTAAAGAACAAACATGTAAAGATGGAGCATGGCAGTATTTAATGCAACAGTAAACCAAATGCAGTGATGCATGAATGTATGGAATAGATATAATATATGTTAATTGGGATGATGCAGTGATGTCGTACCAGTGGAGTGAACCAGTGGTCAACTGGATCTTCATCAGGAATAAGAAATGGCTGCAAATCTCAAAGCTTTTTACTACAGTTCATCGCCAGGTTCCCTAAGAAAGGTTAGAAAGCTGTCTTCCAACATAGATAAAAAAAACTGCAAAAATTGAAACATTTTTTTCTTTGGATTTTAGATTTATGTTGTGAGGACCCAGATGTTCTTTTTTTAGAACAGAACATCTGTTTTCGTACATTTGATTTACATTTGTTTTATATGCAGCACTTTATAATGAATGTTAACTGGAGCTACAAAATATTTTAATATAATTTCAGGGTTGCAAACTTAAAATATAAATTTTCAAAGTATTGTGGAAACATTTTAAAGTTAAAAAAAATATCAGTCGATTATCAGCAAGAGAAAGAGGGAGTGGGGGAGAGAGCTGAATGACTGATTGTCATGCTGTTGAGTCTGAAAAGGGCAGGGCAGGTATTGTGATGCGAATCTGCACAGATTGAGTGTGGGGGAAGTGTGTGTGTGTGTGTGTGTGTGTGTGTTTGAGTGTGTATTTGAGTGTGTATGTGCCTCCTTACACGTGTACTTTACTTTACTTGTGAATTACTAGAAGCCGACGCAAAAAAATGAAAAAGTTAACATAGTGTGTGGGATTGTTTACATAAAAGCCTGATGAAAATAAAAAGACATGAACCAGGTCCATTTTTATAAAGTTCTGATTTAACTGCAGCGCCTCCTGTGGCCTTCACATTGCTCTGCTCCATTTGAGTATCTGCATTTAGGTGGTTGTTTAACTCATGCTCAATTCAGTACCAAGAAATTTAAAAGATTCAGAATGTTTTTAGCTGTTTACTATTTAATTGTATCTAAAATTGTTAACATTTTTATTTGTTTGTGTTTGTCTTCATAGTTCAGTGATTTTCAGCTATCTGATGTGCCGATACAGTCTGCGCCAAGTGACAAATATCATCAAATAGATGCAGTAACTGATCAGAGGATTAATTCAATAGAGTAAAGAGGAATTGCAGATTAATACATCTAATTTGGATTTACGTTCGTACTTTTTTATTGGTAGGGGGTTACAATAGACAGAAGAGTGGGTGGGACATGGAAAAAGAGAAGGGTGTGTGAATACATGTGTATATGAGCACGGGTGTGAGTGACTTGATGAAGTGGGAACAAGAGGTTTATGGCTGGCCGTAAAGACATAGAGCTCATGTGTATGCTGAAAAGGCAACGAATGAGAATAAAATGTGGTTAAACTTTTACCCAGTGGAATTAAGGCTGGAAAGAGACGACGCTGCTCAAACATCTAGTGGGGATCATGCAGCAACGTCATTCTATAGGTTAAGTGTGAGGTTACCTGTGTAATAGCAGAGACATGGGACGACCACCAGGAGCTCCAGGCACAGGATGCTGAGAAGAATGTAGATCTGCAGAGGGTGTGATAATTGAGCAGCCAGAAGCAGCAGAATCAAAACATTCCCTGGAAAAGACCAACACAGATTATACTTGAGCATCACTGCCACCCTGTGGACAAAAATGGAAATTTCACTTTCAGCAGTGGGCAGAAGTACTCTACCTGTAGAGAGAAAAGCCAGCGGTTGCCAATGGAGTCCTTGTGTTTCTCTGCAGAACTGCAGGTATCCTCTTCTTCTGACTCGACTGTGATGACGCTCAGCACACGTGGTGAAGACCAGCACCAGCACCCACAAACACACCTTCCCATACACAATGACACTGTCGCCTGACACATTATCCAGGATTTTCTCACACACCTCCTGCTGGCCCAGTTTCAACACACAGAATGCTGCCAAACACACAGACAACACCACATACACAACCTGAAACAAGGAAGTGAGAGAAACTGGAGTGAGACAAGTATCTGAGCAGCACATGACTTTTTATTTGTTTATGTATTTATCAAATGCGGGGTCATTAGTCATTGGCTAGTGTCTGTTGTGTCAACCTGAAAACATGACTTAGAGCTTGATTAGATAAGATCGAACTTGCTCAGTCCCACACTAGGGAAATTGTTGAAAAGTCAGTGGCCCGCACGGTAATCAAATAAAATTACTATATACTATTAAATAAAGGTTTTCAGAAGATGGGTTCATTACGAGTAAGAATAAACTCACACAATTTGTAATAATTAATTAATAAATAACAAAAATGAAGAAAATATCATAACATAACATTAGTAAACAGCATAAAATATTAAGGATAATTATTTTGTAATTACATACAGCTAAAATGTACTTTATGGTTTAAAACTGCAGCAGTCATGAGCTCTTTCACTGTCTGTGTGTGTGTCCGTGTCTTACATGTAGCAGAGAAAGCAGACAGGCATGGCAGTGTGTTGGTACAGTCTGAAACTCTCTTCTGATGACAGAGTGGAGGGCGTCGGCAGAGATCACAGGTCCCTCCACTAAAGGCTCTTCTTCCATACTCCGAGTCATATCTGCTGAGCTGCCGGCCTGTAATCAAAAGTAATTTAGAAAATGGACAGGACAAATGTTCATTATGTTCAATTGACTGTAATAACAGCATTGTAACAATACGTCGGGCTTTTTAAAAACACACACAAATACAGTCTATGTAGTCAGTAAAGAAGAATAATGAAGGCAGACAATAGACAAATTTTGAGTAAATCATAGGATAGAATATAATACTTTACACAGAACAAATCACCTTTTTAGTCAGTGTAATTGCGATAGTTTCATAACAGAATGAACTTTGATGATATTGTCAGTCTGCTGTCAGTTCGCGGACAAAACACCGCCATCAATGTTGTCAAAATATGGCGGAGGAAACATTAAAAACAAACAAACAAAAAAAAAAAACAGGAACACATCTGACAAATACACAATTCTAGGTAGTTTCAGTTTAACGCAGTAAAATAAAATGTCCTTATTTTTCAAAAATAATAAGATAAAGATAAACGACGTTGTCAAAACTGTCAGGATAATTTGCTTCGCGGGCTCAATTCTAAATAAATATGCTTCGTCATGAAGTGAAAATTCTTGTACATACTGCAGAATAAATCGAACGTCCCTTTGACTCCATTTTGTAGCTAAGGCGAATTTTCAACGTCTACGAAGAATAATCCAACAATAACAACAAAGAGTATCTTACATGTTTTCGGTTTTTGTCAGTAGGGCGGAGCGGCGCATACACTTCCGGGTCCAACGGTTACTGGTTCCGCCTCCAGCTCAACTTTGGTTCCGAGATCTGCTGTACAAATCTGCATTTTAATAAGGTTTTTCCCTGAATTATAAATAAATATATTTTATACAAAACAACGTTAACATGGATTACTTTAATATTCCTTTGGCAACATTAAGGACAGAATTATTTTTCACATGTGCTGTATTTTTTATATTTTCTCATATCTTTTTCTTACGTTTTATTTTATCAAATTTTTTCAAGGATGTTAATGCTTATTTAACTTTAATAAATGTATGTGTAGCAATTTGTGTTGTGAAGAAATGTTGAGCAATGAACATTATGTAACGAATTATTTACAATTAAGGAAGAAGTACTTTTTTAATTGTTTAATCCATCCAAGGACAACATTCTATTATTAAACTTTTACTAATGAAGTAATTCTAATTATTCCTTTAATTCATAAGTTACTGCTCTCCAAGACTATTTTCACAGGGGAAAGAAAATCACACAAAGCCTCAATCTAAAATAGTTTATTGTTAAACATACAGTTTCTATAAAAGACGATGGGTTCCTTCCTTCGTGCGGTGAAGGATGCTGTAAAATGTCCAGGGCAATAACAGACGGGAGTTCAGCTGACACTGGGGCAAAAACACTTCAGACAGAGGCAACAAATGAGAGCCTTCAAGACTGATGAATGGTCAGTCTATTGATCGGTCTCATAAGGAAGCAGCAAGTAACTATATCATTGGTTTAGATCTTAGGGAGGGATCAAGAGGTGATTAAGAATGAAAAGTGTAACATTTGTTTGCTGGTATGGAACTGTGCTTCAAGTCAAAGTACACATGGCATACATATGCATGTACACACGCACACACACACACACACATTCCGGCAATCAGATCACATACTCAATACGTAAGGCACTGATTTAGATGCTGTCAGACAGGGAGACCAAACAATGAATACAGTTATCATTAAGGGAACATAATTAAAATCCAAAACAAATATTGTTACTTTAGATAATGAATTGTCATTCCTATATAATTAAGAGTCAAGAAAAAAGCTAGAGTACATTTGCTTAATTTGCAAAAAAAAAAAAAAAATTATGGTGTACAACATAAAAGAGGAAATTTAAAGTTTTGCTGTTGAAAGAATAACAATTCAAATTCACACCTTCCTGTCAGGCAAAACTCACAATAACTTATGCATATATGTCCTTCTTTCATGCAAAACAGTAAACACAAAAGCCCAAAATAAATGACAAGAGTTGCAAGAGTAAGGCAATACAATGGTCAAGCTACTTCAGGTCGGCCAACCCACACCAGTGAAGGAACGATGGAGTCACATGATCAGTGCAAAAGCATGAATTAACATTAATCAGACTGACATGTTGAAGAGAGTAGCGTTAAGCTTGTAGTGTTAAATCTGTTTGTTTTTTTAGCAGGTCCTTGTTATAGCGCCATGACTGTGCAAAGGCCTAAACACAACAACTGCCTTATAGTACTGTATTCATGCTACACAAAATAAAAGGAAGTGTACACCTGTGTACGTACAGACTGTACTGACACGTGTGTACGTGTGCTTGTGATCTTCTTAACATCAGAGTCCACTTCTGCAGTTCTTGGTAAAACTGTCTGTGTTTGTCAGTCCAGGAAAAAAAAGGTTGATTTCAAACTGATTCCAGGACTTTTCCAGGTCTTGATTCCAGCTTCTACAATAAATGTCCACCTCGTCAGAGTGCAGTGTTGATGGTGCGGGGGGTCCAGTTGAAATTCAGTGTAGTCATTATAGTGTAGTTGGCTGACCTCTGCCTGCATGGACACAGACACATCCATTAGTCTAACTTACATTTTTGTTTTTTGTATTAACAACAGAGAAGAACAGTAAATATAATAATATATCATATTAATATTAATACATACATAATATAGAATAATATTTTAATTTATAAAATACAATAAATAATATATTTATTACTTCAGAGAAAATAAAAACATGCTTAATTTGTCAAATATTTTGTTTATTCAAATTAGTAAAAAAAATAAAAAACTAAATGAGTTTAAAGCTGTTTTAATTTTTAATTTTCTTGGTGTGTGTTAAAATGGCCAACAAACAAAAGGATTTTTGTTTGTGACCTGCCGATGCTTCCTTGTCTACTCCTTAATTACAAATGCACCAAAGTGAACATTTGTCAAGTAGTTGAAAACTAATTAATACATTTTGATCATTTTTGCGTGGTGTGTGTCCTCACCTCGAGTTGCCATGTAGCACTCGTGACAGCTCAGCAGTCCGTTACGAATCCTAACGTCAGTCCCTGCAGTGGCGTCACCCAACTGCCCCCCACACACCCCACACTGAGGAGAAAATACAAGGCATTATTTGAGGCAATTTTATATTAAACGCAGGTAAAAAAAAAAGTTTTTTGATTTTACAATCATTATACATTAATATGTAGGACAAATAAAGAAAATACAGAAATCTACAAAATCTAAAAAATGTATATTAAAAAATGTCCCACAGTACCATATGCACTTCTAATAAAAGCATCCTTTTGGGCCGCGACCCCCATTTTGGGAACACTGCACTATTGTATAATAAACAACAGTGCAGAAAGCAGTAATAATAGTTTTTCAAAAAATAAAATAAAATAATGTACCTTGAAACATTGCATGTGGAAAAACAGTCCTAGTGTGTCGATGATCATGGCAGCTCCTTTTCCCAGCGGCTGAGAACATCCAGAGCACTGCCTCTTCCCACTAACACACCTACATGCAGACGCAGCAGTGTAAAAATAGACAGCAATGCAGATAGCAGTCCCATTTCACCATGATTCAAACTCACAGTCATTTTCTCAAACACTTGTGTGTGTGTGTGTGTCATTACCTGCTGGGTGATGGAGGCTGTGGTGATGATGAAGACGACTGTTGTTTACTAGTTACAATATCATGTGACCCAGACCTGCGGCAACAAAACAAAAGACACAAACATCTCAGTCTCCATGACAACAAAAATCTTCGACAATTAGTGTAACATAAATAACAAAGGACAGAACGAAAGAAAGGATTTTGAAATTATTTTTAGATTCATTTTTAGATTCACTGTCAAAGAGACGGTTCACACACGGCCATAAAATAAATGACTGCAGTGCAGTAACGCAGTAAATCTGAAGCCTTTATTGTCATCCTCATTATCATGCTGCTCTGAAACACTCATCATGTTCTAATACTCACGAGTCAAACTCACACATATGCGACACAGCCATCACTCAGGAGGCACTTATTGCTTTCTGACTGATGCGTCTCACGGACAGACGCGTTGGCCAAAACATAACGTACTATTTATTATGATGTCCTTGAAGGCACTAACAGTAAAGGAAGTCGCTGAGATTAGGTTCAACAGAATGAAGTTAATACCTGCAGTTGCTAAGACGCTGAGATTAGGTTAATAACAGAATGAAGTTAATACCTGCAGTTGTTTTATACTTTAAATTAAGAATGACATTTAAAGGGCATTTGAATGACCTTATTGCAAAAATACAAAAAAACAGTGCATATGGATACCAGTCCTGCCTGCAGTCCAGATCTGTCCTGTTGTAAAACGGAAGAATTTAGAGACTGTGGTAAAGATAATTTTGCTGTGAACTGATGTTTTTGTTGTGAGTGTCAGGTTGAAGTTTCCAAATGAGTAATAAGTAAACAACATTACTGATATACAGTATTTTGTCTATTTATTCTCTAACACGTAATCCTTTTCAGAGTCAAGGGGGGAAACTGCAGTCAGTCCTGTAAGGACCACCTAAGTCTGTTCACTAGTCCGTCACAGAGTTTACAGAGCTTACATTGCCATTTCTGAAAATGACTTTTTTTATCATGTGTCTGTATTGAAGGGCGTCTATAAAATCTATTTCCCAAACACACAGAGCTTCCTGACTCACCTTTTCACTGCATGTGTCTGGTTGAGTTGGGGGTTTCGGTCCAGTGAGGCTGTTTTCCACATTTCCTGTTTCTTTGAGTTGTCAACATCACTCACTGAATCTGCAAAGAGACGTCACCAAAGTGTTCATTTATTTCAAACGAACTTTCCAAAAATCTGTATGAACATGAAAATGTGTTCGACGCTCAGCCTCACCCTGAAAGAAGTGCAGTTTGGACGGATGCTGATCCTCAGATCCTGCAGACACGTTCTGGTGGTGGTGGTGCTGTGAGGGAACACTTCTCTCCTCCTGTTTGTTCCCTGGAGGTGACGGTGCCGGCACTGTTTTCACGATCTGCTGGTTCGACAGACCAGTCGGAGTGAGAGGAGCCACAGTCTCCTCCAGAATCCGTCTCTCCTGGAAGAAGAGCAGGAAAAAATATCTTGACAGCTGGTGGACCATGAATATTCCACATCCACAAAGTTCTTAAAAACCAAGTTTGGCTCATGAAGAGTTGACGCACAAATGAAACATTTATTATTTTGTTCTTGAATACATTTATTTCTGAGAACTAATGAACCATTTCTCTGGACCTCGTGTACAAATCAAAAGTGAAACCTTGAAATCCAAACAAAACAAAACCTTCAATAATAAACTAGAATCAAACCATCTCTCTCTCTCTCTCTCTCTCTCTCTATATATATATATATATATACTGTATATATATACATATTTTTTTAAATAATATAATAATACTTTTTTAATAAGTTTAAATTCCTGTATTTTTTGTTACTTAACAGTTTGAACTTTTTTCCACCTCACTCTGCAGTGAAGCCCTCACTTTTTATTTTTATGCTTTAAACAGATGGTGTAATATAGTGAAAATAGGAAAAGCAGTGTTTGGATTCCAGCTTGTAGTCAAGAACCCTTCAGTTTAAAATAACTCTGATTTATTAACATAAGAACAGAGGTAAAAACCCTAGTTTTTTTGGTGGAGAGTTAGTAGCATTTCCAGGTATTTCTGTGTAAATATCACTGATCTGCCCTCCGCTATTTACTGCCAGTGTGTCGCTCTGTGCTTGTACCTCCTCGTTGTGTTTCCTCTCCTCCTCCTCCACCTCTAGCTGGGCTTTTTCCCACTCTTTCTTCAGTTTCTCCTGCTCCTTCTGGTATTGTTCCTGCAGAGGAGAAACTTCCCACCTTAAACACTGCCACTGCCAAAGCCCACCGTACACACCCACATATTTATGTACAAACACCCAGGAGAGCTTTGGTGTTCTGATTTCTCATTCTCGGAGCCTTCACCAGTGTACCTGTAGGAGGCGCTCCTGCTCCTGTTGCCACCTTTCCAGGCGTTTACGCTCTTCATTGGGGTCCCAGACCCAGTGATTAACACGTTTAGCCAAGTTCAACATGGGGGTCTCAATCTACCCCGAGTGGAACGACACACACACACACACACACACACAATGCATGTGCACAGACCGAAAGGACAGAAAAAGAGGAAAAGTGAGAGGACAAATCTATGACTACAGCGACTACAGAAGACACAGGGTCAGGACAGGGTCAAATTTAAGAACAAAAGGAGGAACAGAGACAAACACAAAGTGGAACTGAAGGGATTCTCACCGTCACGCTGCTCTCCTCGGGGCTCTCCGCTGAAACTACACAAACACAAATGGACATTTGAAAAAAACTGAGTTTGCACAAAGACGTTTATTTGAATCTAAAAGACAACACAGGAGGGCGCTGTTCTAACTCTTTTACCTGAGACAGAGGGAGAACATTCCGTCATGCTGTTAGAAGACGAACTTGGTTGGATTCCTGCTTCCTGCATCATCATCTCATAGAAGGCAGAGGTTCCATTCACCTGGGAGAAATAAAAAAATATCTGTTCTTATGTTCTTATACTGTAAAAATAACACAAACAAAGGTTTATTTTCTATCAACCCTCAACTGTCCGTCCTCTGGCGTCCAGCCTGTCACTTGTTTCTCTTTATTCAAATAAAATATTAAAATCCACCTGAGGACACATTTTACATATGTTGTCCATTACAGTGTTCCAGTCCAGGTTCATGTCTGTCCACTATGAACAGTCATAAATCATCACCACCTTTAATCAGTCTCTGCCCCCTCCCCTTCCCCTTCCCCCCTCCCACCACACACACACACACACACTCACAGCTAATGCTTCTAAAACGCTCTGAACTTTATCCAAAACAAGAGAATATATTTAGCCTTGACTTTCAAGTTGTCAAAATTACATTTAGGAATTTTTTTGGACAGGGATAAAAAAAAAAAAATCACTATTTAAATTTCACTTAAATGAACAGTATCTCAGTGTTATTGTCCACAGGTGTCCCTGGTTGGTCTCTGAGGGTTGAATTCCCTCCACCACACCTCATGAAGAGAAAGAACCAACAGCTGATTCCTGTGTCTCAGGTGTCGAGCGTTTCCAGAAACACTTGAATACCCCAGATGGAAAATTAATTAAAAACAACCCCAGCTCCCCTGTGCAGCTCAGGTGTTGTCTGTTGACTTACCTGTCCGTTGCTTTGCTCTGGGTGATGAGGCTCCACTATGGTCTGCGTCAGCTCTGTAACAATAGTGGTTTTGACGACACAGTTCCGCCCCCCCATCAAAGAGCTGATGGTGGAGCCGGAGGAGGAGGTGGACTTCTCCGTCTGTGGAGGTGGTGGCTGCGTCGCTGCCTCCTGGTCTTTCACCTCCTCTTCATGGATGGGCTCCTTCTCCACCGGTTTGGGGGTCAAGACTTCACTCTCCTGGGGCGAGTGCAGCGGGGAGGCCGGTGTTGGAGAAACAGATAAATCCTCAGTCGCCTCTCCGTTCACACGGACATCCATCTGATGAGGACATGAAGACAAAGAGCCATTAGAATAAGTCACACCTGAGTATAAGTCACACCAGTGCCCCCTAGTGCCCTTTAGTCACTGTCAGTGTGAAAATAACAAATGTGAAATTATACATTATAATATATAAGTCACACCTGAGCATAAGCCGCAAACCCAGCCAAAGGATCAAAGGAAGTGCGACTTATAGTCCGGAAAATACGGTAATTAACTCTAAATAAGAAAAAGTCCATGTTTTTCAATTTTTTTCATAAAAAGAAATACAAGTATATTAGATATTTATTATTATTTATTCATATTTAAACCAATAATATATATATTATTGTTTGACACCTCTGGTATAGTCACAAACAACCATTCACACCTACTGTCAGTTTAGTCAACGTAACTTTATTTCCAGTCCTTTTTTTTTAACCCCTTTGTTCTCAAACTGAATTCTGTATCAGGTCATGTGGAAGCGTACAATGGTACAGCAGTAAAAAGGAAGGTCAAAGGACCAGGATTCAATTCTCATCTCTCACATATGTCAGTATTTGTTATATGACTGAGGGATGACTTTCACTCACTTTGACAGGTTTGTGTCCAGACGGCTTGCTGCTTGGTTGGCGATAAGGCTTGGCGACCAGCAGTGGGAGAGGTCTGGAGGGTACAGATGGAACAGCAGGGGGCGTGTGTGCCCATGGTCTGATCTGAGGCTGTGTTTCTGTTGACGTCGGCTGATCTTCATGCCTGGTTTGAGACTCTGTGGGTGTGGACTGGGGTTCATTAAAGTCTAATGACTGAGCTGGAACACTTTCTGAATTTGGGAGTGCGGTGGGGAAGCTGTGAGGTTTGTGGGGGCTGGTGGGAACAGACGCTGCCACCTGCTGTTCTGGGGCCGAACGACTCTGTGTCTTTTCAGGTTCAGTGTCCTTCGCTTCTGTTGTTATGGTTTGTTCTGGTTCACACCGTGATTCTGATTCACACCGTGGTTCTGGTTCACACCGTGGTTCTGGTTCACACCGTGGTTCTGGTTCACACCGTGGTTCTGGTTCACACCGTGGTTCTGGTTCACACCGTGGTTCTGGTTCACACCGTGGTTCTGGTTCACACCGTGGTTCTGGTTCACACCGTGGTTCTGGTTCACACCGTGGTTCTGGTTCACACCGTGGTTCCGGTTCACACCGTGGTTCTGATGTTTCTGAGCCGTTAACAGGTGCCGTGAGTTTGTCTTCTCCGTCCTCCTCGTTCAGGTCTGACCTGGGCGTTGAAGGAGAGGCTCTGGGCAGCTTCAGGCTGTCCAGTGTGGCGTCACTGATGGTGAAGCGGAGTGCGTATCGCTGTAAAACGATGGCCGCCTCCTCTGGAGTGGCTGCACTCCTGAAGGCCTTGCACAACTCTGCCTCTCTGCGCTCCCTAGAAAAGATGAACAGGAGAAAACGTGTGTGTCGAGTGGTGGGATTATCAGCATCATCTCTATAAATCTATAATACTAACCAGGTTAACCTGTATTTTGAGGATTAGCTTAGCATTAGCCTAAGAGGAAATTGATTACAGTAAGTAACATATCCATTACCAACCCCCTTTTTTTCAGGGTCGTGGGGGAGGAGCCATGGGGTGCACTGGACAGTCTGCCAGTTCCTCTCACATTCACGTACAACATAGTTTTTCCTTACTTCTCCTCCACAATCTCCTTGTAGGTCTTGATGCTTTTCCGCTTGCTGCCGTCGCCTTCCTTCTCCTTCATCCTCTTCTCAATCCTCTTCCTCTCTTCTTCTTTCTTGATCAGGTCCTGTGATGCACTCCGACGCCGATTCTTCCAGCGAGCCAAGTCCTGGACAGAGCAGTCAACAGAATTATTCACTGTATATAAATGCTCTGGGTTTTTTGTAAAATCTGCACAGAAAAGTCGACTCATTTACACTTTGCCATTCGTCGTCTTCCTCCGGAAAATTGTTGTACTGCTCGTGCATGCGCTCATGCCTGGATTGGCTCAGCGGGGGCAAATGTTCCACCTCCTCTTCACTGAGGATGTCGTTCATACTTGCACTCCTAGACAGGAAAGAAGCAGAAACGGATTTTTCCTAATGACTTTATCTGCTGACACAACGACGACGAAGTGAAAAAACAACAACTAACATTCTGACATGTGGAAATGACAATGAAATGGACTGATATCCACCGCCGTGAGTGTGAGAAAATACAAATGACATGGTCAAAAGGAACAAAGAAAACTTTTTAAAATTCATCCACAGTTTGTTGTGGATTCTGTGCTCACAGTTAAACACATGTTATGGGTCAACGCCAACCGACAACATTCCATTAAGCAGAAAGAAATCCCAAAATAACAGATTAATATGCAGAGGAAAAATGATTTCCAAATGTTTAATGTTGTCTCAGGGCATTTCTTTGCCAGAATTCCTAAAATAAAAAAAAGCAAATCATCATGCAAAAAAAGAAATTTATTTTATAAACAATCTACAGCATTGTATTATTATATATATATATTAACTAATGAGGAATTCTATAAAATAGTGAATATCATTTACCTGAAAAATTATAAATGTCATTGTCATTTAAAAATAATTCATTAATTTCACAGCATAAAGTGACCGGTGAGATGAAATAATGAAAGACGACGAATGACAAAATACTTTTGCCATTCCTTTGCCTAATGTTTTCTTCTGGACTGAGCGAGTGCAGCATGCACAGCTGTTTTCATCACCATGCACAAATGACTTTTCTTTTGTTTTTCCAGACTTACTCTGTGTCTTTAGACATAAAAGCAACTCGTCGACTCATCCTAAAATAATAACAAAGTTAAGTGAGTGAGAGGGAAGAGAAGGTAGAAGCAAAAAAATTGTGCAAAATGTTTAAATCCTTTCCGGTTCCTGAATTCACATGAATCACAATCATATGCCAAACTCAGCCATGTTTAACAGCAATGGATCAGAAAATGAAATGCAGAAGCTCCTCATCTCACATCATGGGAGGTAGATCATCGTCCTTCAGCCAGAACACTTTTTTTCTTGCTGTCTGGGCCGCTTCCAATTTTTTCTCCTTTTCTTTTTCTTCTAAATTTTCTTCCGCCCTAGCCTTTTCCAGCTCAGGCTTCACTTCACAGATGTGAGGAGCAGCAGGAGCAGGAGCAGGTGGAGGAGCGAATGTCACGTCTGAGACAGAGGTGTTCAGGACCCCGGTGTCTGCCTCTCGATTTGGACTCTCTTCCTCCTCCTCCTCCTCCTCCCGTCTGCCTCTCGATTTGGACTCTCCTCCTCCTCCTCCTCCTCCACTTTCTCCTACCTTTTCCTTGGCTGGGCGTACTTGGGGTTGGTCTGGGTGGAGGGGGGCGGTACCTGAGGTTCAGCTGCTATAGCAACATTACTGCCAAAAACCAGTGACAAAGCCAAGATTACCAAAAAAACCAACCAACCAAACAAAAAGAGCTCATGGTGCTGAATCAGAATCGAACCACAGATGATGGAAAAACTCCTGCTGGCCTTGACTCAAATCACTGTAGATGGCGCTGGTGATAAGATCTTTTCAAGGGAGTAAAAGTTTGAAGGTATCAGCCGCCACAATACAATGGGTGAATTCATAAATCTGTGGTGGTGTTTCCTCCACATTTATATCCTTTACTAGGTAACTTAATTTAATCATTCAGTTCTAAAATTACTCTCAGTATTTGTGGGAGAAGTACAACAGTAAAACCAACAGCATTAATTATGTAGAGATATCATTTTAGTCGTGGTCAACCACCTTTCTTTTCTTTGGTTTAAATGAAATAAAATTAAGAATAAAGCAAGTTAACACTGAACACGCAACCATTTATAGACCTGCTTTGATATATACTGCTATATCAAATGATTTTTAAATAATAATGTTGCGCTTTAATTGTTTTAAGACATAGACTTTTCCACTCATTCTTCCTTTGAGAGTCAGACTGAAGTGAATTTTCCTGGAGCAGCTCTCGTGCGACGCCGTCTGACAGTCCTCACAAAAATGCATCTGCATCTTAAATTTGGAAAAATTAAAATAAATTATCGGTATATTAGAGAGCCGCTTTCCCGCCTTCATTTTACGAGTCAATAATTTCTGAAGTAATAAATTGGTATAAAGTGCTGAAAACGCACATGTCCAGTAAACAGGGATCAAAGCCCTCAGAAATTATGAAATGAGATTAAAGGCTTCAGCAATAGCCAACGTATGCTTCTAAAAAAATATTTATTGCCCCGTAATTTATAATTACACGTCTCTCTGGGGACACCAAGAGGCAGTGGAGGGTAATTAGAAATCACACAGCTGTGAAAGGATTCTGTAATTTTGGGAGAAAAGTGCAGCAACAGTTTTGTCCCCTCTGTGATTCAGCCATGATTTACACTCCGTAAACACGCCACAGTCCAACCACAGGTGACAATTAAAGTCAAATTGTTGAACAAAGCCAAAGTTAGACCTCATTAACAAATCAAAGACCACATGAGTCCAGAACCAGCGACGGCCGAGCCAAACCACGTGAGGGATCGAGTGCAGCGGTCCTTTCATTAACAAACAATACAAATGAAACCACATCAAACATGCAGCTGCAGACACACACACACACACACATGCAGGAGCTCAAACAACATCATCCAATCAGGATCGACCCGGTCCAACACAGGGATGCATTAGTCCTTGTAGTGCAGCAGGACATAAAACGTCAAACATGATTAAACCTCAGTCTCAGCCAGTGAAAACGAGCCGTTAGATCCAGCAGCCGGTTCCAAACACAGTCAGACTCTGGTCAATACCTTTCACTCTCCATCTTCTCCACATGTTTGGGTCGGCAGTGCAGCTGCTTCATGGCAGACACGGGGCTGACGGTGAACTTAACTGATCCGGGAACAGGTAAGAACCGGTTAAAGGACGGACCTATCCTGGGTGCAGCTGTTTGTTTGCCTTTCTGGTATGAACGGGTCCTTCGTGCCATCATGTCGTCCTTCTCCAGGTCAGGCACAGGCTCGTTCTCACCATACTCTTCCTCATCATCGTTATATTCCGGCTCACTCTGAGACGTCGAGCGGACTACGGTCGCGTCAGGCTGCCGTGTTTCCATCTGAACTTTGACTTCTTGTTGCTGTTGTTGCTGTTGTTGTTGCTCCGTTCTACAAGAGAAACTCTCACAAATGAAATACCCGAGCGGTGAACCACACCGAGCTTGTTAGTGTCCTCCACACACGGTTAGACACACCACGACACAACTCTCTCCCCACCTGACGTTCAGTCTCTGGCTCCTGTCCACCTGCACCTGCTTCTTGCTCCGCGGCGCAGCATCAACAGAGTCCACGCTCTGCGTGCTGTGCCTGGAGGCGGGCGGAGGCAGGAAATGGTTGTAAGTCACTGCAGCGCTGCTTTGTTTATGGAAAACTCCCGTCCTCCTCGCCATCATATCGTCTTTCTGAAGATCAGGGATCCTCTCCTGTTCGTCCTCCTCGTCCTCCTCCTCCTCTGTTCTGCCTTCGTACTGAGCCAGACGGGCATCCAGCTCAGCGTTAGAGGTGACAAACTCTGGGCTCCACGGTCGGTGCTCAGCCGGAGGAGACACACTTTGATGGTGGTCGGCTCCGTCGACATAACTGTGAGAGCATCACATCGTGTTCAAACAGCCCGACAGACGAACGTCTAAAACTCCAAAATGCTTCGGCACAATCATGCAGATGAGCAGGCCGGGAAAAGTCGGTTTACAAGAAAAGCGAATTTGAACTTTAGTGACCCAGTATTTGGGAAACTCCTATGTTAACAGCAGATCTGCTACAAGTAGCTCCTCCAGGTATCAAACCCCAGACCCTCTGCTTCTGAGGTAGGCGTACTAACCACTACACTATGGAAGGGTCTTCCAATGTCTTCACTCGTTTCTTTAAAGGGACAGTGGACACCATGCAAACGTGTCTAGTTTCAGAAAACAAAGCGTGCCGTCAGTAATCACAGCAGAAATGTCAACGATATCGATTCTGAGCGACACAGAACCTCCTGACAGGGAGGTTCTGCTGCTCCTCCTCTTCCTAAATGTGTGAGAGTCTATAGTGTTTTCTATACATTGAGGTTTCTACCTAAGAACTCACAAAGTTTCCTAAGAAGTATCTGGTCTTTAAGTATCGTGTGTGTTTGTCCATTTCTTTTACTACTGTTACTAACGTAGAGGAATAGCAGCATAAAACTCCAAAAAGTGCATCCAAGCCTCCTGCTCTACTCATTCAAATGTGCTCAAGCCATCCAACTGGACTGGAATGCCACTGAAGAACGACTGGCACTTCCTTCAGTGGAGTCCACTGTGATGCACGCGTCATTGGTTTTCCAGCCACTCCAGTCTACACTTGGCCTGGTCCGTACCTGCGTTCCCGCTCAGAAAGCTGGGAGCCCAGGCCAATGGTAGGCATGGCTACGGTTGCCTTGGAAAGGAGTCGTCTTAGCAACTCCCTGGGCTCCCCTTCACAGGATGGGACCGTGTCTACTGGCTGCCCCATCTCAGTCACGCCCCCAAAGGTCACTACTTTGCTGTGACCTCGTCCTGCCTTTGCTGTTCCGCTGAAAGGACTCCCATAAGTTTTCTCCAAACAAGCCTGACACACGGGTGCCGGGTTAGCCTCACTGTAGATGGAACAACCTCACAGATGAACAAGCGTACAACGACAACAACGACAACAACAACGGCACGTACGTACGACAGTAACAACAACAACAACAACAGCCAGGGAAAGAACAAGGGGGAGAAGATATTCATGAACAACAAAGAGTCAGACAAAGGAAGGATGAGGTGGAAATGATGTCACAGGTCAGAGAGGAAGTGGAAATGGATGAGCACAACAGGCTAGAAGTCCCGGTGTGTGTGTGTGTGTGTGTGTGTGACGCTACAATTAATCCCAACACATGCAAATTCACACACACATGGCCGTCTCTTTAGCCGCTCTATAGGTAGCCACATATTCCTGTAGACGGCTGATCCTCTGGGAAAAACAAAAAACTCTTTCTCCTGTCTAATGACATCAGCGCACAGAGAGAGACAGAAACAAAGACTGAGGCAGCGCAACAGTGCCAACAGTGGCCTCTTTTCTTGTTTGTCCTCTCTCTCTCCCTCTCTCTCCCTCTCTCTCCCTCTCTAAAACACACACACACACACTCTAACACACCACAGCCAGTTCCCTATTTCCCATTCTTTGCCCATCAAAGAAGACTGAAGAGGAGTGAAGTCAGAACAGTAATGAGGAGAATGAAGAAGCACATGAAGAGACCATGAGACTGGACCACACCAGGGCTGTTAAAGGAATGTCTGTGTGTGTATCTTTGGATACATCTGACCTAGTCTTATGTCACAAAAAGAAAAAAAAACACAATTTTATATAAATGTAAAATCTTGTTAACTTATCTGGCTTGTTTTTGTGAAGTTTCTTATGCAGGAAGACTGAAAAAACTGTGCCGAAAAACTGACATCCTTACTGAAGAGACAGACCAGCTCCAGTATTTGACCAGCGGTCAGTGATTTTTACCAGTGGTCATCTGGTGGAACCTTGTCATAATCCTCATGTATGTTCTTAGTTCTGTCTGCTTCAACGCTTTCCAGTTCATCACATATTTTCTTTGAATCTCTACCTAAATAAAATAAAGACGGCCCTCGATAGCAGCGAGTAAACAAATAAAAATACTAATTCTTACTGAATATTTGTAGAAAACTGTATCAGGATTTAGTGAGATGTATGAGATACAAACTGAGGTACAGGTTTACTTCACTACATCTCAGCAAACATTTGTTTTTTTACTCTCTGTCGTGATCGACTCCAAACAGGAACGAATGCTGCTGACTCACACCTACGCAGCACATTTTTTCTTGTCATCTTTCACACACACTCACACACACACACACACATTCACAGCCACAACAAACTGCACATTTGACACACAGCAGCATGTACTGTGTGTCCTCTGTACTGCACGTGTGTGTGTGTGTGTGTGGCACCTGGGGTCAGTCATCTTCAGCCTCTCCCACTTCTTCACGTCAGCCTGGCTCATAGAGGCCGAAACAAAACTCAAGGGTCCGTCCCGTTGAGGGAGGGTCCTACTCTGAGCCCGTCTCCGAGCCAGGTCGTCCTTCTGCTTGTTAGGCACGACCTGAACCTCTCTCTCCTGCTCCCCCTCCTCTTCCTCCTCCTCACCCTGCTCTCCACAAGGAGCGGAGTTCAGGAAGGGGTTGTGTCTGCGCGTTATGATGTCGGGAGGCGCTTCCTTCTCACTGTCCAATCAGAGGGCCGGTACGGCGGCAATACACACGTCAGAGTGAAGCACACACATTAGACCACAGGTGAGCAGTGACAGCGACAGTGGGAGAGTGAAAAAAGTGTGATTAGACGTGAGTTAGAGAACAGAAGTAGAGAAGCACACACAGGCTCTGAGCCGACCTGCTCTCCTTCTCCTGGAGAGTCTGCTGAGAGGCCCGGCGAATGCCCTCCCAGCGCTCTCTGTCTCTGTCGCTGCACACGGGCGCCGGCACAAACTGGTGCACCTTGGGAGCCACAGAGCCCTGATGAGTCCGTCTGGAAGCCAGGTCGTCCTTCTGAACATCTGGAACTTTCCGT